ATGTAATAATCCCGTCAAAAAAAGGAAATGAAGTTAGTCTTGTGTGATCTGGTCCTAATTTAAGCCATTCTGATTTTCTGTGATCACCGCTTCCTTTTACAGATGCTCACTAATGATTCCTTCAAAAATATGTTCTAGAATTTTGCCAGAAATTGAAGTCAAGCTCACTAGCTAGTAAGCTTGTAGACTTTATTCCATTCCTCCCTTTAAAAAAAATTGCAACAAAATTTGCATTCCCCAGTGCTATAACAACTGTCTCATTTTCTATGATCTTTCCAAGATCATTGAGAGTAGCTTAGCAAATCCAAACAGGAGTTCTTTCAGTGTCCTCAGATGTAGCTCATCAGGGTCTGGTCAACCGAAGTCATCAAGGACAAGGTTCTCTTATTACTGTACTTTCCTACTTATTAATTCCTTAGTATCCATTTTGGTCTGTCATTTTTAATCTTCTTGGCAGAAAAACAGTGCTAAAATATTGAGCTAAAGCAAGTAAGACAAAGAAAAATTGAGGGAATGAAGACAGTCAAAGAGGAAACAAAACTACCATATTTTGTAGATAATATGATGGTGTATCTAGAGAAACCTAAAGAATCAAGTAAATATTAGTTGAAACAATTAATGAATTCTGCAAAGTTGCAGGATATAAAATAAATCCATCAGTATTTTTGCATATTGCCAACAAAACCCATCAGGGACAGAAAGAGAAATCCTATGCTAAGTAAAACAGAATGTATCAAATACCTGGGATTCTTTCTACCAAGATCTACACAAGAACTTTATGAATGAAACTACAATACACTTTTATAGAAATAAATGTATACCTGAGAAAATATTAAATACTTATAGTTAGGCTGTTCCAATATTAAAATTTAAAATACTACCCTAAATTAATTCACTTGTTTAGTGCCATACTGATAAAAATGTATATCCATTCTTGCTATGAGAAAATACACTTCTCTTTAGATACAGGCAATTAAGGGGAGAGAAGAGAAGAGCGTGTGCTGAAAAGGATGTCTGGGATGGATCTAAAAAGGTCCTTAAGACTTGGGGAAAACCTCAAACAAACGGATCTCTGAGAAATACTTTGTGGTCTTGGTCTTTCAGCACAACTTTGGTTCTGATTCCTAAGAATTCCTGAGGAGCCAGACAGAGAAGTAGGTCTTCTATTTTCCTTGGTACAAGTACCTGATATAGGTGTGCAAATAGTCAGAACCTGACCCAGTACAAATGACAAAGTGAACAACGTTTCTCTTTAGTAAACTCTTATCTCCCTGGGCTAGACCCAGAAGTCTTCTTACATAAGAGACACATAGAATATCTCATTTTACATAGGAAGGAAATGAGGCCAAGGAAGGTCAAATGGCTTGCTCAATGCCCTCATGCAGTCCAGTCCTGTGCCAAACTAGGCTTGCCAGGGTGGCTGTTCATCTGACTCCTCCATCTCTAGATCATCTTTCCTTTCTTCCCAACCCTCTATTTATCCGGTGTATCTTGAATTTTCTTAGGATTGGGTTCTTTAAACCTAATCTAATTAATCACTACTAATATATAAGTAAAGGCTAATAAGCTATTATATCATAACATCATATCTTGGTCGGGGAGGTGACCTTACCATTAGAATTGAATTCTTGGTCTAGTTATAGGCCAAGATGATAGCTGACCTTTTTGTATTAGTTTTAGTCACCTGGATTTGGGAGTTGATTTCTTTTTAAGAAACTGAGTAAGTAGTAATTCAGCATACTGCTACTTGAAAGTGTCTGGGTATTCAAGATTCCAAAACACTTCTGATAGCAATGCCAATGTACAATACTAAATGTTCCCTCCAATAGAAAGGTACTATAGTTACAGGGAGCCCCTTCAGGTTTCTGAGTAGAGGGGTGATACAATCAACATGGTGAAAGGCAGTGGCATGAAAGATATATTAGAGAGGAAATAGAATCAAGTAAATTTCAAGACAGTTAGTTCATGGGCTAGGATAATCAGAGTGAATACAAAGAACCACCTTTAGATAGCAACATGACCATCGTGAAATCCAATAAAAACTACTGACAATGGCTTGTAGTTAGGAAGACATTACCCTACAGCTTGAAAATTCAAGATGACATCTGTACATTAGCAATAGTGGGCATGGTATAGGGCCATGAGACACTAATAGAGAGCTAATATCATTTGTGATAGATATTTTGCATCTACATGGGTATCTTTTGAAGGTACTAAGGGGATTTAAATATGTTATTTGCTAGAGGGCAAAAGGATAACAAAATATGGAAGAAAAACATTCTTCCAAATAAGACTGAAAAAATTGCATAAAAAGCTAATCTCCGGAAAAAGCTCATGTTAGCAGCATATGTAAAATATAATAGAAAAGGGTTCCCTCTTTACCTTCAGTAGGAAATAAAGCTAATCTGAGGACATGCAAACTATACCAGGAGCTGACAGTATTTCATATCCCTTTCTCTCCATTGAGACTCTGTCTCTAATCAGGCATGATAGGCTGCAAAAGAAGGGAGTTTTATCTAAATCTAAGTGGTGGATCAAATTAAGATAATTAGAGCTCCTGTAGCCCATTTGGTCCAGGACATATTGTGGTACAGTACAATGGTGTCAAAATTCAAATAGTAACAGGGGCCAATAAACCATACATAAGGATCCCTGCAGGTCACATAATGACTTAGAAAACCACATGTTAATATCACCTATGTTCTTTTTTTAAATTTTTATTTAGTATTTTATTTTTCCCCAGTTACATATAAAAACAAATTTTAACATTCATTTTCAAAACTTTGAGTTCCAAATTCTCTCCATTTCTCCCTTCCTACCTCCCCCTCATTGAGAAGGCAAGCAATTTGATATAGGTTATACATACATCACCTATGTTCTACTGCATTTTTATGTATTTTGCTAAATATTTCCCAATTACATTTTAATCTAGTTTCAAAAGCTAAGCCATGTCTGTGTTTGACACATCTGGCATACTAAATTAAGTGGATTTAGGAAGAACTTGGTTCAAATCCCAACTCTGACATTTAACAGTTGAATGATCATGGGCAAATCAACTGATCTCTATCTTTTTTATCTTTTTATCTTTATTTAACTGATTTCTTTTCTTTATCTGTAAAATGGAGATAATGACACCAATAAACACCTAGGTCACAGGATTGTTAGAGGCTCAAATGAGATAGTACACGCTATCACTATGGAAATTTAAAGTCAGTCTTTACCACTCTTACTCCTCTTCTTCATCTTTTGTTTCTTAAGGCAGATGTCAACTCCACTCACTTTGGTAGATGAGCAGGGTAACTTACTATTTTTTTTTCACATCATAGCAGCAAAACATAGAACAGAGAGAGCATCTGAAGTAAATGTGTCTGAGTGGAATACTTAGAAGAATACTTAGAAGTAGAATACTTAGAAGTGTCTGAGTAGAATACTCAATAACCAAAATCAAAATTGGTTATTACAATTTTTGAAAAAGAGAACAAAAGTGAACAGAGAGGAAATATTGATTAGGAATGATAAACTAAAGGGGATAAACACCTGACAATTTATTAATAATAGCATAACATTTAATTGTTACCCTTTGCAAAAGATAATAATGAGAGGTCTTCACTGGCTATTTTTTTCTCTTGTTTTATGGAAGATTAGGCAATATCCACTCCCTTCTGAATTAGTTCAAGATTATTTCACTGACCTCCACTTTTTCTTTCAAGGTTTTCACATTAACATAACAAAACAAAAGAAAAAAAAACCTAAAGCCCTCTAGCATCTCAAGAAAGTCTTAAAGAAAAAGAATTCTTTATTTAAAAAAAATTAGGTATCAGACTTTAGTGGTTAAAAACCCTCCAACAAAATAAAAACAATGGTAATGTATATTTCTCATTAAGACAAACATGTTTCTTTGTCCCTTTTCTCCATTCCTACCAATACATGAAGATGGTTCTGAGATTTTCTCCCTCTGTAGAAAAAATTATTTCCCCCAACTTTTCTTGACTCATTTCAGTTGTATCTGAGTCTCTGAGACCCCATTTGGGGTTTTCTTGGCAAAGACACTGGAGTGGTTTGCCAATTCCTTCTCCAACTTATTTTACAGATAAGGAACCTAGGCAAACAGGATTAAGTGACTTGCCCAGGTTCATACAGCTAGTAAGTGTTTAAGGCTGGATTTGAATTCATGTCCTCCTAACTCCAAAGCCGGTGTTTTATCCACTGTGCCACCGAGCTGCCTCCCTTTCCCTAGCTACACATACAGTAATAATAAGAATAGTATTAAATTACTTACACATTATATTGAGATAGTATATACAAATTAAAAATTCAAGTTGATGCTAGCCACATGGATTTACCCACTTATTTCCTCAACAATTTAGAAGAAATGACATACCAAAGTGTTTAAAATCTACATGCAAATCTGTTAATTTTTATAAATGACTTTTTTTTTGCCAGCACCTTTGAAAAAAACTCAAATTCTCAGGACAAATAAGAAATATTTTACAGTTTAAAAAAATTCTCACATTTAAAATAGTATGACTCAGATCCATACACTTCTGAGATAGATTTGTTTACATTAAACATTATTTGCCAACATATCAAACAAGGCATCGTGCTAAGCACCATACAAAACTGAAAGGCAAAATCTTTGCTCACCATCAATGTTCATCCACTTTTACGTTAACTATCCTAAGGAGAAAACTGTCTTTCAACATCAACAACTTCACTATTTCATGAATACAAAACAATGATTCAACATATTTACTAAAACCATTTTTGAAAACAAAACTACAACATTTTTTTTAGTATTTAAAGTGTTTCAATGCTCCAAGATAGTAAATAAACTTGGTTAGCAAAAATTTCTAAGGCTATACCTGCTTCAGCATCAAATAAGGAAAGTCTATCCAGCTCTCAAAGGCACTGATTGGCAACCATCTACTTCAAGGTACATTACAGAAATGCCACATGGATGAGTAGCTAACATGCCTTGAGTAACGACAAGCAACGTTTACCTGTTGCTGTACGGGTACTTGCTGTACAACCTGGGTGGGCACTGCTGCTTGGCCAGCCACAGATGTCTGTAAAGTCACTGTCGAACCTGTGTCCGACCCAGTCTCTGATGTCTGCATGATGGTTTCTGAAAAAAATGAAATCAGAAATCAGATTGAAAACACCCTTCCTTATGAAACTGCCTTCTAATATTTAAAACATAATACTTATCCACATTCTAAACACCTCTCCCCACCCCGCCACCCCCTGCACTGTCTCCCTCACACGGGGAAAAAACACACACACACACACACACACACACACACACACACACACACACACA